CATTGTGGGAAAATTCTACTACCAGTCCTTCATCACTTTAGACGAAATAGGGTGAATACATCTCATTATATTAATATATTACACTCACTCGAATCAGTCTTAAATGGGCATTTATGACCGTAAGAAGCTTGATAAATTCTTGAATCCCTGTTAGCTTAGGATTACAATTTCAATGGAGGAAGTTGAATTCGGCTTAGTCGGCAAATGAATGTGGTGCTATAAGAAGCCTACTCCTTCTTAACTGGTGTTCCAGTAGTCTAGAATCGCCTAGTCGTCATATGTACAGTTACCTTTTTTTGTTTTCGCTTTTGGCCCCGTTTAGTTACGCAAATCGCGTCTTCAGGCCTCCTGGCGGTCTCTGCAGGTCTTCCACTCTTCGTTGACTGACGCCGAGCGATGGCTGTTGCGAGTTTCGCTTCAACTCGTCACCGTCAGCTCGGCCGATCCCGACGGTCCTCGAGCCATTCGTCGACTCTTTCTCATGATCGAGAGGTTGCGCAACCAGTTGGTCAACTTTCGCGTCGAACGATTGGCTCGACTGACAAGACAGGCTGCCGAGCTTGTCGGCCTGGCGACTGAAGAAGACGCTGATGAGGAGGCAGCAATTCGGGACGAGGCACGTCATGAGTTGGAGGCAATCAACGCCGTCGCTATCGCCAGTCTGGTAGCCAGTGAGCGTTCCGAAAGCGAGGATGACGACAGTGTTTATGGTCTCGTTGGCGACGGTGGTGGAAAGGCAGAAGAGCTGATTCCAGATTCACGAGGCCTAGGCCAGGACATCCGTCGGCTCGGGTTAGCCACAGCCTCGGCTGCTGGTCGATCTTCAATACATTCTCAACTGGCGTCAGAAGAGCCAGTGGTCGGACGGGGCAAGAGCAAGAAATGCTTTACGGAAGACGAAGATGCCTCGGCAACCACCAGCCAGAAGAGGAAGCACCATCAACCGCCACAAAATAGGCGTCGTGATCGTCGAGCTCCTCTGCCTGGCTCGGCCAGTGCCACGGCGCAACACTTGGCCCGACAAGTGGAGCAAATGGTTGCCACCCGCGTAAGCCTGGACGATATGGTGGAGGAGATCGAGGTGAGTTTCAGCATGTTGTGATCTGACTCTATTTTTGAACTGATTAGCAACAGGTCCTATGAGTTGTGTTCACTCTATTTCCTTTAAGGCGATGAAAGACTGACAGTTCAATTTTCCCACAATGATATGAGTAGAGTTGATGTTTTTCAGTGAATTTCAAAAGGTGTTCTTCTCCAGATGGATTTGCCTAAATTCTATCAATGTCTCCAACAGGGGTCGAACCATGACACTGCAGCTTATGATCTCAACACGGTAAAAACCATGCCACACTGAGACGAGTGCTGTTGTAGCACAGGGCAGATGTGAACTCCAAGCGATGCCAGACATTTTCCCATATCACATTCTTTG